TTACATATGAATATTATAAAGCAAAAATTTTTAAAAATCTCCTTCTCAAGAACCACAGGGCCAAGAAAGGTGAAACTCATGTGGAAGCATCCTCAGGTAGTGTAGATTCTAATTTGTTCAAATTATAACCTCCAGGGATAGGGTGGGACCACAGTGGGGGATCCAAGTTTTACATAGGACTAGATAGGGAAATCTTTTAAAATCTTCTTCTCAAGTACTTCAAAGCCATGATTAGTGATATTTATATGGAGTCATCATCAGGTATTGTAGATTTTAGTTTGTTCAAATCATAACCTCCAGGGATAGAGGGGATCCAAGTTTTACATTAAAATATATTTTAAAAAATATTCTTCTCAAGAATAGCAAAGCCATGATTAGTGATACTAGTATTTATATGGAAACATTTTCAGGTTGTGTAGAATTAAGTTTTTTTTTCAAATAATCACCCCCAAGGGTAAGTTGGGACCACAATGGTGGATCAAAGTTTTACACAGAAAAAGTAAAAGGGAAAAATCCCAAGAACAGAAAAGCTATTTAGTCATATTGACATGTAAGTATCCTCATGTACTGAATATTTAAATTTGCTCAAATCATGGCCCTTTGGGGTAGGGAGGGAAACAATGGGGAATCAAATTCAAATTATTACGAAGTAATAATATAGGAAGAAAATGTTTTAAATTTTTCTTTTATCAAGAATAGCAAAGTCATATACTGTATTAATATGAAGGCATTCTCATAAGGCATAAACTTTTCAGTTCTTATCTGATTTGTGCTTTTCCTAGGCGATTTGCTCAGGTGAGCGATGTGGCCCCTGGGCCTCTTGTTAATTGATTGTTTGTTTCCACCGATTAGACCAGATTCAGTGGGAGCTTGCTTATAACATTTGCATACATGTTTGAATAATAGGTAGGTCAGTTATAAAAAAAAAAGTGTCCGTGTTTTAATTGAAATTTCTACAAAAAAGGAAAACAGAAATCAACTTTAGTTATGATCTTATTTTAAACTCAATAAATTCAATAAATTTGTTTAATGTGTTAGAAAACAGAACGTGTAATTCATCCTTATATTTGTTTTATTAGTTGGGATACATCTATAAAGCTTGCAATGTGGTTTTGAAATTGAAATCATTGTCAGCAACTATTAAAATAATCATTTTATTATCTTTTGAATTCATTGTATAAAGCACTATTGAAATCAATATTTCAATTACTTTTGAAATCTATAATTTCAATAATGATCACTATTGAAATCTTTATTACAAAACTGACTATGATTTTAATAGTGGTTCCAACCTATGTTTGGTATTGAAATGCACCTCAACTACTATTGAAATAATTATTTCAATAGTGGTCGTATTTCAATAGTAGTTGCAACCTATGTTTATTATTGAAATGCACTCTCAACCACTATTAAAATAAAATAAACAATTTTGATAGTATTTCAATAGTGGTTGCAAGTTGCAACCTACGTTTGTTATTGAAATGCACTGTTCCAACCACTATTGAAATAACGACCACTATTAAAATAATTATTTTAATAGTGGTTGAGACTGCATTTCAATAACAAACATAGTATGCAACCACTATTGAAATAATTATTTCAATAGTGGTTGAGAGTGCATTTCAATAACAAACATAGTATTCAACCACAATTGAAATACGACCACTATTGAAATTAAATACTAAAACTGATGAACAATTCGATTCATATGAACCTGAAGCACATTTGCAGCTCTGTTCTGCAGTATGTTGAATAATAAAGAGGGTGTGTGTGTGTGTGTATAGAGCATTTATTACAAATGCCAAATGAGATTACATATTTTACAATTTCAGAATGCAGCAGAAGGTGGCGCCCAACAAATATCCCACACCTTATACAAAAGAAAACTAGTACATACATGTATATTTTCTACAACAATAACAATAGAAACCTTATACAAAACAAAGTAGTACATGTATTCTCTACAATAACAATAGGTATGGCGGATTTAGGGGGTGGAAGGGGGTAAAATTTGTAAACCACATTAACTACTATTGAAATACGACCAATATTGAAATAATTATTTCAATAGTGGTTTGGAGTGCATTTCAATACCAAACAAAGGTTGTAACCACTATTGAAATAATGTTCACTTTTGAAATAAAGTTTTCAATAGTATTGAAATAATGATTTCAAAAGTGATTTGAATAATTATTTTGATAGTTGCTGATAATTAATACTAAAACCACATTGCAAGACTTATTGAAATAACTTAACTATTAAAAAACACAAGGATTAATGGTTCTTTATGTTCTCAAAATTTTTAATTCATTTATTGAGTTTACTATAAAAATTACGACTACTTGTGAATGATTATTTTAAAAGAAGTTGAAAATACGTTTTAAAACACTCTACCACCACATTTTAATCACTATTGAAATAACACCCACCGTTTCAATAAACCTAATACTAATTTCCCTAGAAATTTTGCTTTTAAGTGTCTTGACGAGTAGACATTGGCTTTACTATCCGTATTTGTAGTGTAGGTAATCCCATGAATATGAGCGGCAATTTAGTTCTATTCTAAATTCTTCTTATTAAAAATATCCAAATTTCCAACAGAAAGTTTGTACACAAAAGCATTCTTCCTCCGTTTCAATGTAGTCTAGATATTTTTATTTCTACATCTACATGTATTTATGATCCTTTCCTTTTAAAATCAATGACAAAAATGAAATTTATATAACAAATTATTTCAAATTTGCATATATTAATTGATTGCAATTGTATGTTGGTTTCCGCCGATTCTGCCAGATTCAGCAGGAGCTTATAACATTTGCATAAATGTTTGAATTAAAGGTAGATCAGTATAATAAAAAGTGTCTGTGTATTAATTGAAATTTGTACAAAAAGGGAAAACAAAACAACTTTAGGTATCATATTTTAAACTCAGTACATTAGCTTATTGTGTTAAAAACCGAATGTGTTATTCATCCTCATATTTGTTTTAATATTTGGGATACTTTAATAGAGCTTGTAATGTGGTTTTGGTATTGAAATCATTGTCAGCAACTGTTAATTATTTTAATATCTATTGGAATCATTGTTAAAGCACTGTTGAAATCAATATTTCAATCACTTTTGAAATTTATAACTTAATCACTATTGAAACATTTATTTCAAAAGTGAACATTATTTCAAAAGTGGTTGCAACCCATGTTTGGTATTGAAATCCAAACCATTATTGAAATAATTATTCCAATAGTGATCGTATTTCAATAGTGGTTGCAACCTATGTTTTGTATTGAAATGCACTCTCAACCACTATTGAAATACTTATATTTTAGGGAGAGGGCTAAAATAAGCTTTGCCTGCTGCCCAGTCCCATTTACTTATGTGAATAAAATTTTGTATAAATAAAAAAAAGAAATACTTATATATAGTACTTATTTCAATAGTGGTCGTATTTCAATAGTAGTTGAGTACTATGTTTGTTATTGAAATGCACTCTCAACCACTATTGAAATAATTATTTCAATAGTGGTCGTATTGCAATAGTGGTTGAATACTATTTTGTTTTATTGAAATACACTCTCAACCACTATTGAAATAATTATTTCAATAGTGGTCGTTATTTCAATAGTGGTTGCAACAATGCACTCTCAACCACTACTGAAATAATTATTTCAATAGTGGGCGTTATTTCAATAGTGGTTGCAACAATGCACTCTCAACCACTACTGAAATAATTATTTCAATAGTGGGCGTTATTTCAATAGTGGTCGCAACAATGCACTCTCAACCACTACTGAAATAATTATTTCAATAGTGGTTGTATGTCAGTAGTGATTGCAGCACACCGCCCCTTGCCAGTTGATGGCTAAATTTTATACCTATCCTAGGCTGACAAGGTCTTTGAGGAGACAGGGATCTTTTTCGTGCCATCATCTACTGCGACACGTGACATCAGTTTATACGGTCTCACTTGAAGAACCGGTTTCACAGTAGTATTCGAACCGTAAGAGCAAGCCCTCTAATTTTAACCACTGCGCCACTCGGGCAACTCTGTTTTAAGTCCAGAACAGTTAGAAGAAACTGATGATATTACAGGGGGGGGACTGGGGTTTTATTGTGTAAAAACTACAATAGCGAAACTCTTCATTTTTATACCATATATAACTAACATTAACTTCAGTGTACATATCAAGTTTGGGGAAAATCCACCGTCCAGGTATTTTTAAGGCACGGTCTCAAAATACAGGTACATTTACAATTTTGTTTAATTTCATCAATTAAGCGAAAAAAAGTTGCTTTAAAACAGTAAATACGCTTAATTTTATTGTGATGCGCGAAATATTGAACAATGAAAACAACAGTCGACCCCCTTAAAAAGATATCTCGTCACTGCTATAACTGCATTATTCATGTACACTGAATATAGAAGATTATTGTTGATTTTCTTTTTTTGTCGATTTTAATTTGACTCCGATTTATATTTGAAAACTTTTAAAAAATAAATTGACAAAGTATATTTATAAAAGGAACCCTCGCTCTATGATCGGAAGGCCTCGAACAGTTCAAGTCGATTTTTTTAAAAGTAACATGTTCCTTCAACAAACGCTCGGCACCTTGATGAAAGTTGCAGGTCCTTAAGATGAGACCTAAAAAAAACCGAGCCCCGTGTCACGAGAGTCTTTTGCACGAAAATGACCCCAGGCTGTCCCTAGTGCTGAGTAAAGATTTAAAGTCTCTCGTTAGTGTACGGTCATCTCAGTTCTCAAATGAGAAGTAAATCAACATATAATCAATTAATCAGATATCATATTTTACAGAGAAATAAAATATCGATTATGTTGACTGTTTCTCTATACAGAGACTACTAGTATCTCTTATTGAGTATAACAAATGTAACAAATTAGTAAATATGTCTTAACCAATATCTTAAAATGAATACAAAGTTCGCGTATTCATACAAACAGGGCATTTGAGGATTATATAAGATTTTTTTCTTTTATTTACAGTGGAAATAATCATTCCCCTTGTTGTGGCAGTTATCCTGCTCGCCTTCATTATACTCATCTTAGTATGCATAAGGTTAGTTCATCTGATTTAAAAAATTGTTTTGTAAATCTATTTGTACACATGCTTATTACTTTCTTAATTTCATTTAAATAGAAAACAGCGGGAAAAGAAGCGGATATTTAAGTATGAGGTATCCCCTACACCAAGTCTACGTCTACAGGAACCCTCTAATTCTGATAAAGAGGAGATTCTAAAATATAACAATGAGTTTCATGAGTACGGAACAAAACACAACATCTTGTATGAAGGTGACGATTATTGTGAGCATGGTATTTTTAATAAGGCCTTTATTGAGACCCATCCAGGCGCCAGCAAGAAAAAGGAGGACAGAGTGTATGCGCCCACAATGGAAGGCCATCCAGAAGAACTAGTTCTCGAAGAAGAGCCGGGCACCAGTACACAATATGTCCTTAGCAATGACAAAGAGAACATAATTCCTATTGAGTAATCAAAAATCTTTTAAGCCCATGAAAAAAGGGCTACAAGTATAAATGAAGGATAGAGTCCCATTGTTAATTAATTAAAATATCACCATGAATTACTGCTCACAGAATTTGCTCTCACCCGGGCTACCGATACAACATATGATTACCATCGCTTATATTAATACACGTGTACTTGTAACACATAATTATTGACATGCGCTTTGGAAACTTTGCTTCTCCTATTAAGGATATCCGATCCTCAGCCAGGAAGGATAACTCTAAAAATTAATATTTAATTTGAAATGCATCAAAAAATTCAAAATTAAGCTTGAAAATGAAATTTTTCCATGCAACAATTTTTATTTTATATTCATCTTTATAAGATTCAAGTCTTAAAAAAGGTCTTATAAAGGTTGACATTTGTACCCTATAAAGGGGAAAAAAATAACTAGAGCCGAGCTCGTTGCAAAGCAACGAGTAGGTCTTCCGTCCTGTTTGACCGGAAGTAACTTTCATTTGAAAAAAAAAAGGGTAATGAAGTCGAAAAATGGTTTAATCCTCCAAATCTATGTTCATTTTTGCAAAATCAAGCCATTTTTGGCAACTTCCGGCTTGACCGGAAGTACCGTCAACGGACGGAAAATAAAGATTTAAGTTTCCAGTGACATATGATATCCAAAAACCTGTCAAGAACAACAAAAATATGCAATTTTTGACTACTTCCGGTTTGACCGGAAGTGACGTCCCCGGACGTATTTTGACAACCTCATTAGATGAAGCTTGACATTTTGAACAACTTTGCTTAATTGACATATTATAAATTCTCAATACTTTTTGAGATATTAAACAAAAACTTTCAAGGGCCCTAGATCCCTAATTTTAGGGGCCAGCCCCTTTTTAATGATATCAAATGAAAGCGCTTGTAATTATGCACAACTTTTATTCAACATGTCTTAACAAAATATTTTTAGTTTTCAAGATAAAAAAGGAAAATATCTGTAAATTTTCGCTCTTTTAGGCGTTCTAATTTTTGACCCCTACATAGCGCCATTTTGAATGCAGAAATCGAAAAACAAAAACCGATGTGCACAACTTCAATCCTTCTGTTATCTAAAACAAGTAAAATTTCTGCTCCAGCTTTTGTGGTCTCTGAGTCTTTATCCGGAAACGAAAGCCTATGATTTTTCGTTTAAAGGGGAATAACTCAAAACCGGAAGTGACTTTTTGAAATTTTTGTCATTATTCTGATAGAGTTTATAAACGTCTATAATCTCTAAAAATTTGAGCGAAATCCGTTGAGAAATGAGTGAGATGTGAGGCCTCAAAGTTGGCGTCTAGGAAGTAGAAGAAAAAAAAAAGAATAATAATCTTTACCAACAGAATCAGTAGAAGGTCTTCCGTTGGAAACGGAAGACCTTAATAATACAGTTTTAGAGAAATAAGATTTTCTTGAATCCAGCCTTAGCTAACAATGCTTATTATCATGATATGAAATAAGAAGTGATTTGTGGTGTCTTGCAATGATAGCAAAAGCCTTTCACACTATGTATGAATGCCTGGATACCTATCGTTTTTTAAACTAAAATATATTTGTTGATCAATTTGCATTTGGAAAATCCATTGCTGATATTCCAATTCGATTTTTCTGCAAGATATTGGAAATTTGACAGTTTTCCCTATATAATATGATTAACTTCAATCTTTAACTTTAAAGAAATACTGTGGATAAATTTACATTAATTTCCGGATTCAGATAAATTTTTATGAGTATTTTTGAATACTAAAGTGCTAATTTTATAAACCTGAGGATCGGACTACCTTAAGAAACATGATATTATCATCTTTAGAGTTGGAATATGATATGGAAGCTAGTCACGTTATCTTTTGCATTTGCGTGTTGACATGTTGAAAAACCATATTTAGAGTTGTTAGCCATGATGCAAATCCGTAACGAATATGCATTTTAATAATATCAAAGCAAATCCTACTAGGGATACAGTAGAATTGATCACTTCATGCCATATATGTATCCCAGTGAGACTAAAAAAAAGATATTTTATATTTGTTTAAATACTCTATTCACGTTTCTGACAAAAATTATTCACTAATAAGACTTTGTTATGGAAATGCTTGATAGAGTTCATGTACGACGTGACGTCACATTCCAAAACACAGGCACCTGACGTTATGTGTGCATTGTTTTTATTTTTCTTCCAATAAAAGAAATACACTCCCTAACTATGGAAAGATGAGTAGGGAGTATATGTTTTTATTAAAAGAAAAGTCTCGTGACCAACATCATGTCTTTAAAAATTTAATATTTTCATTTGCCTTGTCTATTTGTTCGTTGATTTGAACACAAACATTATTTTCATATAATTTAATTCTGATTGTAACGCTGTATTTGATTGGATAAAAAATTTACTTCATATTGTATAAAATGGGTTGCCTACGTCACAATGACTTACGTCAAAAACGTATCAATCCGCTTGACGTTACATTCAAATTTTGTACAAATTGAAGTCATTTTATTAGAACAATCACCTTTTTTTCTTGCATCAAATGAATGAAAATTAAATTATAAGCAATGAATTTAATAGCTACCCATTTTATACGGTATAAACTGGGTTGGAACAGTTTACGCTTTTTTATAAACCGCTTCGCGGTTTATAAAGCGTAAACTGCCCCAACCCAGTTTATACCGTATAAAATAGGTAGCTATTAAATTCATTCCTTAAATGTAATCTTTATGTCCGCTTTTTTAAAGGTAAACATAAAACAACATTGAATCAATAAAATGAGTATTTCAAGCAGGTTAGCATCATGAATAAGAGTCAATTTATGCTCGTATTGTATATTACGCTTATAAAATAAAGGATCTTAAAATTTTACTTAAAAAATTTATATACTGTAATTTTTTCCTACAAATAAAATAATCATCCACTTTGTGTACTTTATGATGTACGTATACAGTATATAATGTTGTGTTATGATATAATTTTTAAGCCGTAGCCTGGCATAGTCATCACCGACTGTCTAATTATTCGACCTCAACATATTTTTTCTCGTTACATCTATTTTAATAGGACATGGACTGATAAAAGTCCTACATATTAATACAAACACATAAGAAAAAGAAATGCTATAATCATGTCACAAATATTTAAAATGAAAAAATCGTGAAATTAACTCTGCACAGGACATCTACACATGAAAAAAAAAATCATTACAAAAGTAAATTGATAATGAATCTACCGGGTATATCTCTCTTTCTTTCTCTCTCAGTGAATAGTACAACCTTAAGATACCGAAAAGTGAAAAATTTTGAATAATTTTAGTGAATTAAATCAGGGTGTTTCTAAAACGCGGAACTATATATCTTATACATGTTTAATCCCCAATTGTTAAATTCAAACAGTTTTAGTCATGTTCAGTATTTATTTCACGAAAATCTCTAACATAGCAGTGACTTAGAATCGAATTTGAAATATATACGTTAAACGACTGTTTATAGAAATTGCATCTGATCGATATAATTATGTGATTTTCAAATAGAAACATATAGATTAAGTTGTCAGAGATTAGAAATAAAGAAAAAAATAGGATTTTATTTAGTATTGAAAAGGGGGAGGGGTAATCCTGTCCATGAGCATCTGATCTGTGAAAAGATGGGGTTTAATGAATATTTCTAATTTCTATAGTAAAAAGGTTATGTCTCGAAAAAAAGCGGGGGGGGGGGGTATATGAACAATGGTAAGAGAAATAAAATGTAAAAAAATTCTTCAAGTTATGAATAGAGCAAACTTATCTGCCATAAACACCGCTAATGTAACACTCGTTGTTAATATTTTATACAAAATATAGTCGCTTCCTATTTATTGAAATTTTGCATAGATAAAGTTGGAAAACTTTTTTGTGGTAAATTGAATGTAGCAACTTTTCATTCAGTGAAGTTAATGTTTGTTTGTCTCTGGTGCATGTGTTTGTGTGTGTGTGTGGGAAGGGGGGGTGGGGGTTTGAATGATTCGTAAAACATTTGAGGTTGCTTTTCCGCTCATCGGAAAAGAAGTTTAAATTTTGGACGCAAAAGGGTAGGGGGGACCTTTAGCAACTTCTCATACTTTTCCGACCCCGAACTACCCTTACCCTTCAAGATTTCTGGATTCGCCACTGCTTGCATAATCTGAATGTCAAAACTAGGTATTTTTGTCTTTACAGGTATTTGTATATTCTAGAAGACTTTTTTTTCTTCTACATTTACCTATATAAAGAAAATATGTTTTTTCATGAAAGAGCTTTCTTAAACTCAGGATTAGAGTCTAGTTATTATGTTTTTTATAGACCATCGCATGAACACGTGCCTGTTCTGAGGGTGTGAATGATTCATGAATATGTTATAGTTTGCGATAAATTTTTATTAGATATGACTTTTATATCAAAAATACTGCTTTTATATCTAATTAATATCGAATCTGCGTATGTTCTTTGTTCTAAATAAATTTTCCGTTTCCCGTTCCGTTCTGCGTTTTAGCAACACCCGATTAAATCACGAGTGGAACTACACTGATCCCCTGAAATACCAGTGATAGGGTCAGGTCCTTAGGACAAGTAACCATCCCTGTTGCTCGGTGACCCCGCTGTGAGCACTATGTCTTGATAGAGTCCTAATTCAACATTTGTATAAAAGCAGTTCATGATGCAACATGTTAGAAACCAGAGTTTCCAAGGAACGCAATGTATCGTCTGCTTTGTATCTTCATTAAAGATGTAAATAAATCTAAGCGTGGTCAACTTCTTACTAGTCTGATAGTATAGTTCGTGCATTTTGTCCGAAAACAAAAAATGGCATCCGTGCATGGATAGTATAGAACAGAAATGAACATTATTTGACTGCACCTTACAGAATCTGTCAATCAAACAGAATAGAGAAGTTGCTAAAGGTCCGCCCCTCCCCTTTTGTGTCCAAAATACAAACTTCTCAGACTTTATTCAACCCCCCTTCCCACACACACACACACACACA